CTATTTGTGGGAAAAGTAATCAAAGGTTCTACTCCCAGGTTTGAACAGTTGAAGCTTTCATAGACAGGTGAATTTGTGAAGGTGCTGCTGGGAGTTGAACCCAGGATCTCCTGTTTACTAGACAGGTGCTTTCACCAACTAAGCCACAGCACCCCTTAGAAGAGTACAATTTGGGACCATCACAGCAAATACCTTTGTAGCAATCTTACAAAAGTACCTGAGGTGGGTTGCACCATTGACCTTTGCCTGAAGCTGCACATGAAGTTTTACTGCTCCAAAGACTCAGGTAAATGTAACATAGACAGCGCTGGAATTTTATCCCAGGATCTCCTGTTTACTAGACAGGCACTTTGACCAACTAAGCCACAGCGCCATCAGCTGCTTCACATGTGAATGTTTCATGTTCAGAGTTTCATTGAATCAACTCAGCTTGTGAACATCTCCCTTCCCTGTTCAGTCAAGTCAATCATAATTTGAGCATCCCTGGCATTCTGTAAAGGTCAAGGGGCAAATTGGAAATGACTGCTGTGAAGTGATGTTTGATAAGATGACTACCGAGTCTAAAGACATGACACTTGTAATGTAGAGAAAAGCCACTTCTCTCTCCTGGGTGACCTTGAAGAATCCAGTAATATGCAATTCTCGTCCCTGGGTGGGCTCGAACCACCATCCTCTCGGTTAACAGCCGAGCGCGCTGACCAATTGCGCCACAGAGACATGCTGTGATTGCAGAGTCCGTTCTCGCTGACAAGAAACATGTCTTCTTTGATGACATCAGTCTGTCACCTTCAACCTTGTCTAGGAACCATTCTATTTGGGGAAAAGTAATCAAGATTGCTGCTACCAGGTTTGAACAGTAGTAGCTTTCATGGACAGGTGAAATGTATCACCTCAGCTTGTTAACATCTCCCTTCCCTGTTCAGTCAAGTCAACCATAATTAGAGCATTCCTGGCAGTCTGTAAAGGTCAAGGGGCAAATTGGAAATGCTCCCAGGTTTGAACAGTAGAAGTTTTGATACACAAGTGAATTTGTGAAGGTGCTGCTGGGAGTTGAACCCAGGATCTCCTGTTTACTAGACAGGTGCTTTCACCAACTAAGCCACAGCACCCCTTGAAAAAAAAAGCATAATTTGGGACCATCACAGCAAATACCTTTGCAGCAATCTTACAAAAGTACCTGAGGTGGGTTGCACCATTGACCTTTGCCTGAAGATGCACATGAAGTTTTACTGCTCCGAAAACTCAGGTAAATGCAACATAGGTACCGCTTTGATTCAAACCCAGGATCTCCTGTTTACTACACAGGCACTTTGACCAACTAAGCCAGGGCTCCACCAGCTGTTTTGCATGTGAATGTTTCATGTTCAGAGTTTGATTGAATCAACTCAGCTTGTGAACATCTCCCTTCCCTGTTAAGTCAAGTCAATCATAATTTGAGCATCCCTGGCATTCTGTAAAGGTCAAGGGGCAAATTGGAAATGACTGCTGTGAAGTCATGTTTGGTAAGATGACTACCGAGTCTAAAGACATGACACTTGTCATGTAGAGAAAAGTCACTTCTCTCTCCTGGGTGACCTTGAAGAATCCAGTAATATTCAATTCTCGTCCTTGGGTGGGCTCAAACCACAGTCCTCTCGGTTAACAGCCGAGCGCGCTGACAGATTGCGCAACAAAGACATGCTGTGATTGCCGAGTCCATTCTCGCTGACATGAAACATGTCTTCTTTGGTGACATCAGTGTGTCTCCTCCAATCTTGTCTAGAAAAGGTTCTATTCGTGGGAAAAGTAATCAAAGGTTCTACTCCCAGGTTTGAACAGTTGAAGCTTTCATAGACAGGTGAATTTGTGAAGGTGCTGCTGGGAGTTGAACCCAGGATCTCCTGTTTACTAGACAGGTGCTTTCACCAACTAAGCCACAGCACCCCTTAGAAGAGTACAATTTGGGACCATCACAGCAAATACCTTTGTAGCAATCTTACAAAAGTACCTGAGGTGGGTTGCACCATTGACCTTTGCCTGAAGCTGCACATGAAGTTTTACTGCTCCGAAGACTCAGGTAAATGTAACATAGACAGCGCTGGAATTTTATCCCAGGATCTCCTGTTTACTAGACAGGCACTTTGACCAACTAAGCCACAGCGCCATCAGCTGCTTCACATGTGAATGTTTCATGTTCAGAGTTTGATTGAATCAACTCAGCTTGTGAACATCTCCCTTCCCTGTTCAGTCAAGTCAATCATAATTTGAGCATCCCTGGCATTCTGTAAATGTCAAGGGGCAAATTGGAAATGACTGCTGTGAAGTCATGTTTGATAAGATGACTACCGAGTCTAAAGACATGACACTTGTAATGTAGAGAAAAGCCACTTCTCTCTCCTGGGTGACCTTGAAGAATCCAGTAATATGCAATTCTCGTCCCTGGGTGGGCTCGAACCACCATCCTCTCGGTTAACAGCCGAGCGCGCTGACCAATTGCGCCACAGAGACATGCTGTGATTGCAGAGTCCATTCTCGCTGACAAGAAACATGTCTTCTTTGATGACATCAGTCTGTCACCTTCAACCTTGTCTAGGAACCATTCTATTTGGGGAAAAGTAATCAAGATTGCTGCTACCAGGTTTGAACAGTAGTAGCTTTCATGGACAGGTGAAATGTATCACCTCAGCTTGTTAACATCTCCCTTCCCTGTTCAGTCAAGTCAACCATAATTAGAGCATTCCTGGCAGTCTGTAAAGGTCAAGGGGCAAATTGGAAATGCTCCCAGGTTTGAACAGTAGAAGTTTCCATACACAAGTGAATTTGTGAAGGTGCTGCTGGGAGTTGAACCCAGGATCTCCTGTTTACTAGACAGGTGCTTTCACCAACTAAGCCACAGCACCCCTTGAAAAAAAAAGCATAATTTGGGACCATCACAGCAAATACCTTTGCAGCAATCTTACAAAAGTACCTGAGGTGGGTTGCACCATTGACCTTTGCCTGAAGATGCACATGAAGTTTTACTGCTCCGAAAACTCAGGTAAATGCAACATAGGTACCGCTTTGATTCAAACCCAGGATCTCCTGTTTACTACATAGGCACTTTGACCAACTAAGCCAGGGCTCCACCAGCTGTTTTGCATGTGAATGTTTCATGTTCAGAGTTTGATTGAATCAACTCAGCTTGTGAACATCTCCCTTCCCTGTTCAGTCAAGTCAATCATAATTTGAGCATCCCTGGCATTCTGTAAAGGTCAAGGGGCAAATTGGAAATGACTGCTGTGAAGTCATGTTTGGTAAGATGACTACCGAGTCTAAAGACATGACACTTGTCATGTAGAGAAAAGTCACTTCTCTCTCCTGGGTGACCTTGAAGAATCCAGTAATATTCAATTCTCGCCCTTGGGTGGGCTCAAACCACAGTCCTCTCGGTTAACAGCCGAGCGCGCTGACAGATTGCGCAACACAGACATGCTGTGATTGCCGAGTCCATTCTCGCTGACATGAAACATGTCTTCTTTGGTGACATCAGTGTGTCTCCTTCAATCTTGTCTAGAAAAGGTTCTATTTGGGGAAAAGTAATCAAAGATTCTACTCCTGGGTTTGAACAGTTGAAGCTTTCATAGACAGGTGAATTTGTGAAGGTTCTGCTGGGAGTTGAACCCAGGATCTCCTGTTTACTAGACAGGTGCTTTCACCAACTATGCCACAGCACCGCTTAGAAGAGTACAATTTGGGACCATCACAGCAAATACCTTTGTAGCAATCTTACAAAAGTACCTGAGGTGGGTTGCACCATTGACCTTTGCCTGAAGCTGCACATGAAGTTTTACTGCTCCGAAGACTCAGGTAAATGTAACATAGACAGCGCTGGAATTTTATCCCAGGATCTCCTGTTTACTAGACAGGCACTTTGACCAACTAAGCCACAGCGCCATCAGCTGCTTCACATGTGAATGTTTCATGTTCAGAGTTTGATTGAATCAACTCAGCTTGTGAACATCTCCCTTCCCTGTTCAGTCAAGTCAATCATAATTTGAGCATCCCTGGCATTCTGTAAAGGTCAAGGGGCAAATTGGAAATGACTGCTGTGAAGTCATGTTTGGTAAGATGACTACCGAGTCTAAAGACATGACACTTGTCATGTAGAGAAAAGTCACTTCTCTCTCCTGGGTGACCTTGAAGAATCCAGTAATATTCAATTCTCGTCCTTGGGTGGGCTTAAACCACAATCCTCTCGGTTAACAGCCAAGCGCGCTGACAGATTGCGCAACAGATTGCGCAACAGAGACATGCTGTGATTGCCGAGTCCATTCTCGCTGACATGAAACATGTCTTCTTTGGTGACATCAGTGTGTCTCCTTCAATCTTGTCTAGAAAAGGTTCTATTCGGGGAAAAGTAATCTAAGGTTCTAGTCCCAGGTTTGAACAGTTGAAGCTTTCATAGACAGGTGAATTTGTGAAGGTGCTGCTGGGAGTTGAACCCAGGATCTCCTGTTTACAAGACAGCTGCTTTCACCAACTAAGCCACAGCACCCCTTAAAGCACAATTTGGGACCATCACAGCAAATACCTTTGTAGCAATCTTACAAAAGTACCTGAGGTGGGTTGCACCATTGACCTTTGCCTGAAGCTGCACATGAAGTTTTACTGCTCCGAAGACTCAGGTAAATGTAACATAGGCAGGGCTGGAATTTTAACCCAGGATCTCCTGTTTACTAGACAGGCACTTTGACCAACTAAGCCACAGCGCCATCAGCTGCTTCACATGCAAATGTTTCATGTTCAGAGTTTGATTGAATCAACTCAGCTTGTGAACATCTCCCTTCCCTGTTCAGTCAAGTCAATCATAATTTGAGCATCCATGGCATTCTGTAAAGGTCAAGGGGCAAATTGGAAATGACTGCTGTCAAGTCATGTTTGGTAAGATGACTACCGAGTGTAAAGACATGACACTTGTCATGTACAGAAAAGTCACTTCTCTCTCCTGGGTGACATTGAAGAATCCAGTGATATGCAATTCTTGTCCCTGGGTGGGCTTGAACCACCATTCTCTTGGTTAACAGCCAAGTGCGCTGACTGATTGCGCCACAGAGACATGCTGTCTTCCCAGAGTCCATTCTCGCTGACATGAAACATGTCTTCTTTGATGACATCAGTCTGTCACCTTCAACCTTGTCTAGGAACCATTCTATTTGGGGAAAAGTAATCAAGATTGTTGCTACCAGGTTTGAACAGTAGTAGCTTTCATGGGCAGGTGAAATGTATCACCTCAGCTTGTTAACATCTCCCTTCCCTGTTCAGTCAAGTCAACCATAATTAGAGCATTCCTGGCAGTCTGTAAAGGTCAAGGGGCAAATTGGAAATGCTCCCAGGTTTGAACAGTAGAAGTTTCCATACCCAAGTGAATTTGTGAAGGTGCTGCTGGGAGTTGAACCCAGGATCTCCTGTTTACTAGACAGGTGCTGTCACCAACTAAGCCACAGCACCCCTTAGAAAAGCATAATTTGGGACCATCACAGCAAATACCTTTGCAGCAATCTTACAAAAGTACCTGAGGTGGGTTGCACCATTGACCTTTGCCTGAAGATGCACATGAAGTTTTACTGCTCTGAAAACTCAGGTAAATGCAACATAGGTAGTGCTTAGATTCAAACCGAGGATCTCCTGTTTACTAGATAGGCACTTTGACCAACTAAGCCAGGGCTCCACCAGCTCCTTTGCATGTGAATGTTTCATGTTCAGAGTTTGATTGAATCAACTCAGCTTGTGAACATCTCCCTTCCCTGTTCAGTCAAGTCAATCATAATTTGAGCATCCCTGGCATTCTGTAAAGGTCAAGGGGCAAATTGGAAATGACTGCTGTGAAGTCATGTTTGGTAAGATGACTACCGAGTCTAAAGACATGACACTTGTCATGTAGAGAAAAGTCACTTCTCTCTCCTGGGTGACCTTGAAGAATCCAGTAATATTCAATTCTCGTCCTTGGGTGGGCTCAAACCACAGTCCTCTCGGTTAACAGCCGAGCGCGCTGACAGATTGCGCAACAGAGACATGCTGTGATTGCCGAGTCCATTCTCGCTGACATGAAACATGTCTTCTTTGGTGACATCAGTGTGTCTCCTTCAATCTTGTCTAGAAAAGGTTCTATTCGGGGAAAAGTAATCAAAGGTTCTACTCCCGGGTTTGAACAGTTGAAGCTTTCATAGACAGGTGAATTTGTGAAGGCGCTGCTGGGAGTTGAATCCAGGATCTCCTGTTTACTAGACAGGCACTTTCACCAACTAAGCCACAGCACCCCTTAGAAGAGCACAATTTGGGACCATCACAGCAAATACCTTTGTAGCAATCTTACAAAAGTACCTGAGTTGGGTTGCACCATTAACCTTTGCCTGAAGCTGCACATGAAGTTTTAGTGCTCCAAAGACTCAGGTAAATGCAACATAGGCAGCGCTGGAATTTTAACCCACGATCTCCTGTTTACTAGACAGGCACTTTGACCAACTAAGCCACAGCGCCATTAGCTGCTTCACATGCGAATGTTTCATGTTCAGAGTTTGATTGAATCAACTCAGCTTGTTAACATCTCCCTTCCCTGTTCAGTCAAGTCAACCATGATTTGAACATCCCTGGGATTCTGTAAAGGTCAAGGGGCAAATTGGAAATGACTGCTGTCAAGTCATTTTTGGTAAGATAACTACCGAGTCTAAAGACGATGGCACTTGCGGCCAGATTTACTGAGCTCCCAATTAAAGAGTACTAAATTGCGTGTTCACTCCAAAAGTTTGCACGAATGAGACAATTTGCGTGCATGACAACAGGTTCAAACCTTGTGGAGGCGGTACTATGTAAGTTAGGCTTTTATGTGTTCTACTGGTTTACATCTCGGATAATTTGGACAGAAAGCAGGATGACTGCAAGCGCCAAATAGGTATTAGTGGGAGAGGCAAATAAACGCACAATACTTTGGAGTTATAGGATATAAATCTGAATATTACAAAGAAAATTTGGTTATAAGAAAACATCGGCATTAAACAGGGCCTCTCTTTTCTTCCCTTAATCTTAAGAATGAAGTGTCATACATTGCGCAGGAGGTTCACACTGTGTCCTCTGTGGCACGGGCGCTCTACACTCGCCGTTGTTGCGCACCAGACAGCTGGCCAGCGTTGTGTCTGATCAGACATAAATGCCCTGGAAAAAGGTATCGAAGACGGGGGTACAAACAGTGGTGAGGTACCCCAATCCAAGCATCCTACAGAGTAGCAGCAGCGGGCTTTAGAGGGAGGTGACGAGCGTATTATGGAGAGGAGCGCACCAGAGGGGGCGAGCCAGGAGAGAGACGCACGACCCGAGAAAAAGGAAATCCCCAGTTTAAAATGTAATGTTGGCGAAAAGAGGGAAATAGAAAGACATAAATGTCAATGTTGAAATTCTATAGAATTCAGAGGCTGTGAATGTTCAGTTTTTTTTGGCAACAATAGCCTGTAGTTTGATCATGGTGTTTCTCTTCCTTAACGATTAGAATATTGAAACAAATAAAAAAATAAATGCATGCCATTTATTTTTCTGTCATTTGAAACATGTAAACACTCGGGAAAAATGCGATCTTTATGCCTTCAGCGTGCGTAACACTGGTATCCTGGGTTTGCATGGTCTTTTCAAAGGTGTTAAATACAGACACCGTCACAATCACCACAATTTTTGCCAGGTTTGGTAAATCGCTTGGTAAAACTTGTTTGCATTTTCTCCTCCCAGTATTTTGCACGTTAGGGCAGAAACGCCCCATATTGCATATTCATTAAGGAAAACGTACTAAATGGTCAATGCGTGTTGTTGCTCATTTGAAAGACGCAATCCTCACTGCGCGCCGTTAGTAGATGAGATAGCACTTTTTTTGCTGGTGGTATCAAGTTTCCATTTACAGCTGAGCGCACTGACTGATTGCACCACAGAGACATGCTGTGAGCCCAGAGTCCATTCTTGTTGACATGAAACATGTCTTCTTTGATGACATCAGTCTGTCACCTTCAACCTTGTCTAGGAAAGGTTCTATTTGGGGAAGAGTAATCAAAAGTGCTGCTACCAGGTTTGAAGAGTACAAGCTTTCATGGACAAATGAACGCATAGGTACTGCTGGGAGTTGAACCCAGAATCTTCTGTTTACAAGACAGACACTTTCACCAACTAAGCCACAACACCATCAGATGCTTATTATGCAAGTGTTTCATGTTAAGAGTTTGATTGAATCAACTCAGCTTGTTAACATCTCCCTTCCCTGTTCACTTAATTCAACCATAACTTGAGCATGCCTGGCAGTCTGTATAGGTCAAGGGGCAAATTAGAAAATGCAAAGTAGGCACCGCTGTGTACCCGCCCTTCATCTCAGTTCCTTGGTCCTCGCTCCTCGGCCGAACCGGAAGTAGTTCTAGACCCGCGATGTTAAGGAGCGTCCCAAAGCTCTTTTAACTGAAAGGAGGAGGGAGAACTGAGGAGCAATGACCGAGGATACCCGAGAGCTGGCTTTACTGACATGCACGCCTCGTCTTGAATATCACTCATTGAATGGACACTGCAGCCGATCGGACTTAAGAGAAACTTATCAACATCAGCGAAATTTAATAATGGAGAAAGACGGACATTAAAAAGACGCAAAACGGACCGTCGGATATTTAAACAGACTGTTAACATCTGTCAGTCTGTGATGAGCTGGGATGAAAAAAGTGTTTGACATGAGGAGTAACAATTAAATATTAGGTATAAATTCCATAATATTAAAATAATGGATTGTAGACTGATCACTCCAGACTTTATATATTTTTTTTTTTATTGATTCAGCATCAAACTAAAAGCCTGTTAATACGAAGTGTTAATTTAAAAGCTCATAAATTATTCCTTTTAATTGAAGTGGAGGAGGCAAGTGAAGGAGGCAAGTGAAGGAAACTTGGATGCAATTAAGGGAACTGAGACGTACCCCCAGAGTCCAGTCTCGCTGACTTGATGCATGAAAAAAACATGTTTTCTTTGATGACATCAGTGTGTTCCCCTCAACCTCACACACACACACACACACACACACAGACACACACACACACACACACACACACACACACACACACACACACACACACACACACACACACACACACACACACACACACACACACACACACACGCACACAGACACACACACACACACACACACACACACACAGAGACACACACAAACGCACGCACAAAGACACACACACAGACACACACACACAGAGACACACACCACACAGAGACACACACACAGAGACACACACATATAGACACACACACATGGACAAACACACACACACACACACACACACACACACACACACTCACACGCGCACACGCGCACACGCGCACACACACACACACACACACACGCACACACACACACGCACACGCACACAGACACACACACACACACACACACACACACACACACACAGAGACACACACAAACGCACGCACAAAGACACACACACAGACACACACACACAGAGACACACACCACACAGAGACACACACACAGAGACACACACATATAGACACACACACATGGACAAACACACACACACACACACACACACACACTCACACACACGCGCACACACGCACACGCGCACACACACACACACACACACACACACACACACACACACACACACACACACACACAGGGGTTTGCATTGGGATTGGGTCAAACAGGGCTTTTATAACAACAATGTGCAGCATTAGTCCACCAGAGGGCCCCATGACATCACAGATGCTCTGTGAGGTCATCAGCATGTAAAACTTTGACAGAATGTCTCACACAAAGGCTTGAAACACACTTGTGCACAAACAGAACCTACTGACGTGTATATCTGGACAGATGTCACCCCTGAGCTTTTTGGGGTTCATATTTGAACTATTAACCCCTCGGCTCCCCTCCTGGCTGACTTACTGCCTCAACCAATTAATGTAATTATTAACGTTTTGCAGTGGTCCAGTAGGAGAACAGGACTGCACTCTGTTCAATTTAAAGGATTTAAAAATCTTTTTATATTTTCGTAAGATCTCTGGATA